GCACATAACAACAACAACAACACTACCAGACCTCCAGAGCTCCACATTATAGGTGTTTGTTAAGTACCAACCCCATGTCAAAGTACCAAATTCTGTCTTATCTGGTGCTGATAATAATAGGAATACCACAAATGGGTGGCTTTAACATATTTTAACCTATTTGTTTTCTCTCAGAGTAGGAGGCTTGAAGTCCAAATTCAGGGTGCTGACTCTAGGGGAAAGTTTTTTCTGTGTCTGTTCTGGAAGAAGGTCCTGTGTCTTTGCCCTTCGCCCCTGCACTTCATGTAACCTGAAGGATCTCTCTTCCCCACCTCTGCCTGCCCACTTGCTTTTTTTCAACCTCTTTCATATTGAAAAAGAGGTTGGCTCAAAAGTCACCTTGTACTAATCCTGTTCATTAACGTAATAATGACAAACCATTCCCAAATGGCATTATAACTACAGGCATAGAAGTTGGGATTCATAACACATGTTGGAGGTGGAGGGCGGGCGGAGAGGAACACAATTCAGTCCATACAGTATTATATCAGTTTTCGAAAATAGAACTATGTTTTCTTTTGTTTAATAAATTTTCATATTAGTTTCAAAATTTGGTTTAAGAATGTAATTTCTCCCTAAAATATTGTAATATAGGCATCTGCTTATCAATTTTCATGTTAGATTAGAAGCTGGAGTCTGTGCGGATCATGTGTCTGGTTGGATATGTATTTTCCATTTATGTGCACTAACAGTCAGGAAGAAGTGCCAGAAAAGTACCGCGTTTGATTTGAATCTAATTGTCAAATAAGCAAAATCTCTGTTGTCATTCTGAAATGACTTATCCTTTCTTAAGAGAAAGTTTTGTAGTCAGAACATTAAAGCTACTCAGTTTTAGCCTAATATATTGGAGAGGCAATTGGGCTCTTCAAATGAATGAATAAGCAGTTTATTACCAGGAAAGTTTTTGTTCTTATTTTATATTGTTTCCATAGCAAGTAGGTTATCAAGAGGAGTTCACATTAATAGTACAGAATATTTTTTCTGTTTACGGCTTATAGTTAACTTAGTAACTGTAAAGTGTTTTTCTGTATTCCTTTTTTTCCATGGTTATTTAACCTGTGAATTCACAAAAGTAATTAATTGATGGGCACTTTTGGTGTGAATCAAACTAATTTATAGACTGTTGCTTTAAATTTAAATTTTTGAATGTTTTTTAACTACATCAAGGACTAAATAGATAAAAAAAATTGTACTTTAACCAATTTGACAAACGTTGATACATTATATTGTAGAGGTAAAGCTACTATTTAGTTCATGATGATTGACTATAGAAATAAGTATATTGTTCTTAAATATTATGTAATTCAAATACAAATAAGTTCTCTGAGAATTTATATAATCATAATTGTTGTTGTTGTTAAGTGCTGTTGAGTTGGTTCTGACCCATAATGACCCTGTATAGGGTTTCCAAGGAGCAGTTGGTGACCTTGAACTGTAGACCTTACAGTTCAAATGGCTTTGCAGTCTGGTGCACAATACAACCTCGATATATAAGGACTCCAAACGCCAAGTCTTTTTTTCCATCCAGAATATGACAACCTTTATTTCTACTCTGTGCATATTTACATAGACGAGCAAATGTTCCAGATCTTTATAATGAGTTGTAATGCATTATTTGAGCTATCTATTTGGAAGTTAAATGAGCGTACTGGACATTATATTAGGTCAAACCATTTTATAGATAATTGGTGTCCTATTAAACTGGATAGTATCTATGTTTAAACCAAATTGTTTACCTTTCATGAATGTAAAACAATGCTATTCACAAAAATAATTTCAGTATGCTAGACTTTATTAGAAAAGAGACATTATAGTATGAAAGGTCAGCACACACACCATCTCTTTCCCTTACCATCACCACCTTCCCATTTCATTTCTGATCCTCCATTTTGAAAATGGTCACCACTTTTCATTGTCAGTAGTAGATTACACTCCAGTTTATTTTCTAACAATTCTGTGCGTACATGATAGATTCTTATCATTCCAGGAAGAAGCTCTACTTCTGATGTACTAGACATACACAAGTCTCCATTCTCTCATCAGACCTTTCTTAACAAAGGGCTTAGTAAATCTATGGGATTTCTGTCCATCAGAGACAGACAAGAGGAGAAAGAGTTTTTCAAGGACATTTCATCAGATAATAATTCTGGACATGAAGATTCTGAAAATACCTGCTCCCCTTACCAGTTTAAAACTAGTACAGACAAAAAAGTTACTTCAAGCACTGATGGACTTCCCAAGAAGAAGATTTGGGCTTCATCCATGGACTTGCTTTGCACAACTGACAGAGATTCCTTTTCTGGAGAGACTGGCAGATACCGACACTATCTCCCCGAGGCAGTAACAACAAGGACTTCAACTGCTCCTAGAAAAAAGGAGGCAAGATACTCAGATGGAAGCATAGCTTTGGATATCTTTGGTCCTCAGAAAATGGATTCAATGTACTACACGCGAGAACTGCCCACCTCCTCAGCAATATCAAGTGCTTTGGACCGAATCCGTGAGAGACAGAAGAAACTTCAGGTTCTGAGAAAAGCCATGAATGTGGAAGGTTAGTAATTGTGTGTGTGTGTGACAGAGTTCACAGTCACGAGAACCCTATGAAGCAGTTCTACTCTGCACATGTGTGGTCACCATGAGTCCGAATCGACTCAGCAGGCAGCTAACAACAACAGAGAGCAAATTGTGGCTAATAAAGCACAAAGAAGTTCTCAACTATAAATTTCTCAAGGACAAGAACGTGTTTTCTGTTTCCTTTGAATCCTTCCCAACACCGTCTATCATGTACTGCCTAATGTTGTTGTTAAGTGCCGTCGAGTCGGTTCCGATTCATAGCAACCCTGCTAGGGTTTCCAAGGAGCAACTGATGAGTTTGAACCATCGACCTTGCAGTTCAAACCGACCTTGTGGTCCAGTGCTTATCCTACATCGTCACACCAGGACTGATGGGAGGCTTCACTAAATGACTGACTCACAGAAATAAACAGTTTGGTAGAGTAGTGTGGTTCTGTTGCAGTGGTTCCCAAAGTATAGTTTCAACAAATTTGGGGACATTATTTGTTTGATCTGGAATAAAGTTTTAAATCTATATTTTTAAGACGATAATATATGAACTTATATGAAGAGTTTATATTATGAAGAGTTATATATATGAAGAGTTTGTATTAGTTAAGGCCATTTAATAGCTATGTGACCATTACTGTCGCAGTTGGGATCGATCTCTCCAACCCTCAGCTACTCCATCTGTAAAATGAGCTTAATAGAAGTACATTGCTTATGTAATGAATGTAAAGTGACTAATAAGTTGAGTTATTAGTATGAGGAATATAGAAATGTTTATAAATGAGGCATTATTATTTCTTCGTGGCAAAGCTCCGTTTCAAAAATACCTGATTTACACACAAAACACAATATATTGAATGGAATGTGAAATTAATCTTCTAAAAAGATACAGATACTGATTGCCTCTTACAGATAACTGACTGCGTCTTACAGATAGATGCAAGAGAAAACAAAAGCAGGAAGAATTTTTAAGTTAATTTTGTTTTTATTTTGTTATGGTGGTTTGGGTGAAAGTTTACAGAGCAAATTAGTTTTCCATTCAACAATTTATACACATTTTATGTGGTAACATTGGTTGCAATTCCCTCAGTGTAAAATTCTTTCCACTTCCTCCCTGGGTTCCATTTCCATTTGTCCTTCTTTGCTGCTACTTCCTGCCTTCTGAGGTTGGTTTCTGTGATACTCACATAATAGGTCTGTCTGTTGTTTGACTCAAAGGTGGTCCTCCAGGTGTAGGTTCTGTTCCAGGTTTGAAGAGGGTCTGAGGGCTGCGGTCTCAGGAGTTCCACCTGTCTGGTCTTTTTTATAATTTTGAATTTTATGCTGTATTTTATGCACTGTCTGGCAGCGAGTTGGGCCGCTAACCTCAATGTCAGCAGTTCGAAACTGCCAGCTGTTCCTCAGGAGAAAGAAGAAGTTTTCTGGGCCAGTAAAATTTATTGCCTCAGAGACCCTATGTAGGATTGCTCTGAGTCCAAACCAACCCTACAGCACATAAACCACTCTCTCCTAGAACTTGTATTGTGATGCTGATCAGTGGGTAACAGCAGCTAGGCTCTTTCTAGCTCTTCCTTTCTCAGGGTAGTTTGCATAGGGTTTTTTTTTTAGACTTATAAAATGAGGCTTTCTGCTCCCTTAAAGATTTACAGCCTCGAAAACCATATATGGGGTCGATATGAGTCGGAACTGACTCCAGGCCACTTCACCACCACCACCATAAAATGAGCATTAGCCAAATTATGTCATAAATTGTAAATAATCCTGTTATCTTCTCAGAAAGTGTGTGTGTGTGTTTCAAGGAAATGAAAATAGACCAATCTGTTTTCAAATAAACATATACACCTACAAAGAAAGATCATGTATAATCTTAGTAAAGCTTTATTTTCTGAAATTAATAACTCATTATAAAACATAATTTCCAGATTCAGAATTTTGGGATTTGTTAAAGGAGATATAAGGAAAGGAAAGCTTTCTTTATTAAAAGTGTGTTTGGTATAAGTTGGTTTTTGTTCTGAAACATTTCTGTCCTATTGAAGAGTTTTTGAAGGCTTGTGCTCCCACATGAACCTTAATTGTATATTTCACAATCAAACTAAAGCAAAAACACCTGAAAATGTTGGTTTACTGTGGAAATACTTGCACCGCCTTAAGTAAACCTCCATTATTATGTAGTAACTTGGAGGTAGTAATAAACTATGTTTACTTTAGATTAAAAGCGTTATTGGGAAACAAGTGTTTGAGATTTGGAATTCAAAAGCAGTCATTCTTATTAAGCTGTCTAGTTGGGTTACTTGCTGATTTTGTGGTATGCTGTCTTTACTCGTCAGTTTGTCGTACTGTGGGGCTTGTGAGTTGCTGAGATTCTGGAAGCTGTATCACAGGTATTTTAAACATCAGTAGGGTCACCCATGGTGGACAGGTTTCAGATGAGCTTCCAGCGGAAGCCAGACTAGAAAGAAGGAGTGATGAAAACCTTACGTATAGCAGAGAAACACTGTCAGATTCTCAAGTGTGGCAACAATTGTGAGGTTGGCCCAGGACTAGGCAGTGTTTCATTCTATTGTACATAGGGTCGCTATGAGTTGGTACCAACTCCGATGGCACCTAACAACAACAACATCTTTTCCCAAAGGTAAAGTAATTTAAACTGTGCAAACAAAAGTGTAGATTGCTAATATAAACATTTTAGCTAGCAAACCAAGAAGACAAATAAATAGAAAATAAATGTAAATCTCATTTATCTCACTTATTTCTCACTAAGAGGAGCACCACAATTCTTTTTGTGAGTGCTAAATAAAACAGAAGTGGATTTTTCCTACTGGATATTACTTATTGTATGCATTTCTTTAAAAAATATTTGCATTTTAAAGCATTTTAAAATATGAAGGATGCTCTGTACACTTTTTATAGTCTTAAAAATTTGTCAACTGCCACTGGCTATCAGTAATTATTCAACTAGATGGGGTTTAAGAGCATTGTTACCTAAGCATACTCTTGGGAAAGTGCCCAAAGTCACAAAACTAGTAAAGAGTAGAGTTGTCATCATAATTAGATTTCCCAAGGTCTAGTCTAAGGATTTTCCACTACATGTAACTTAAAAAAAAATTTTTTTTTAAGTTTAAAGATGTGTTTCAGTATTCATTAACATAATATAACCATATGAAGAAAAGAAATAGCAAATTTTCAGTTTGTGCTATTGGAGATATGAGTAAGGTTAGTGAATTCATAGGAAAAACAGTTGTCTCATTAATTATCTGTAATATAAGTAGACATTTCCTTACCTTATACCTTGTCTTCTTAAAGGAACCTTTACCTGAGTCATCTCCACAGCCTCTCCTCAGCTGACTGTATCTATCAGCAATTTAGCACAGGGGAAGTCCACCAGACTCTATAAAATCATGGCAATTGGAACTGGAATAAACTCTGGATGCCATCTAAACCAAACAGCTAGTTCTCTGGAGTCCAGAAAAGTAGAATAGTTTGCCAAAGAAGCTACATAATTCATAACAGAGTTGTATTTATGTTCCAGCTCTCACGTGTCCCAGAGTGAGACTGTTTTCCACTCTTGTGATTCTGATTTCAAGCAGAGAACAGATACATTCTTTATATCTTTGGGAATATTTTTTTTACTACATGGGAAGTTGGACATTCATTCATCCACATAGCAAGCTTCTTATGTCTCTTAACAACACAGTAATAGCACAGTGGCTCCATTAAGCACTGGTCTGCAAACCACAAGGAGTGTGGTTCCAGCCCGTCAGCCACTCTGTAGGAAAAGAAAGACCAGGCTTTCTGCTTCCACGATGATTTAAAAAGCTTCGGAAACCCAATTCAGGATTGCAGAATTGGAACCGACTTCACAGCACTTAACAACAACAATAAAAATGCTATAATTTTTAATACAAAAGAAAGGATCAAAAATAGTCACTTTCAGTTCTTCTTGCAGTAAACCACAAGGAAAGAGTTTACAATGGTTTTCCATTGTGTCACATTATTGTGACAGTTAGACAAGGTTTTCCACCACTTGTTTTCCACCACTTGTCTGTCAGTGTGCCATACTGGGGTGGCTTGCATGTTGCTGTGATTCTAGATGCTGTGCCACAGGTGGGTCACCCGTTGTGGACAGGCTTCAGCTGAGCTTCCAGACAAAGACAGACTTGGAAGAAGGAGAGATGGAATACCTTGAGATATTTAATCACTGAAACCTTGTGAATAGTAGTGGAACATTGTCAGATAGCACCAGAATATTAAATAATGAGACATGATAAAGAGCACCAGACTATTAGCAGATAACTGCTGTAAGATGAGCCCCTCAGGATGGAAGTCACTCAAAATACAACTGAGAAAGAGTTGCCTCCTCAAAGTGGAGTTGACCATGATGATGCAAATGGAATAAAGCCTTCGGGACCTTCATTTGCTGATGAGGCACAACTCAAAATGAAGACAAACAGTTGTTCATATCCATTAATAATCGGACCATGGAATGTATGAAGTATGAACCTGAGAATATTGGTATTTGTCAAAAATGAAATCGAACACATAAACATCAATATCCTAGGCATTAGTGAAATGAAATAGACTTGGTATTAGCCATTTTGAATCTGACAATCACATGGTACTATGCTGGGAATGACAAAATTAAGAATGGCATAGCATTCGTCATGAAAAAGAACCTATCAAGATCTGTCATGAAGTACAGTGCTGTCTGTGATAGATTAATATCCATATACCTCCAAGGAAGACTAGGTAATACAACTATTATTCAGATTTACACACTAACCACTAAAGGCAGTGATGATGAAATTCAGGATTTCTACCAACTTCTTCAGTCTGGAATTGATGAATCATGCAATCAAGATGTATTGATAATTACTGGTGATTAGAATGCAGAGGTTAGAAACAAACAGGAAGAATCACTAGTTAGAAAATATGGCCTTGGTGATAAAAATGATGCTGGAGATCTGCATGATAGACTTTTCCAAGACCAAT